TTACTTTGGAATTCCAAAATGTCTTCCTGTCCTTTTCAGATGGCCAGTGTTCCCTCAGTGGCCTTAATCATGTAAGAAACTTACCAAGAAAGCCAGGTGAGTGGCACATGGCTGTCAGCCCGGCACTCGGGAGTCTGAGGCAGGAGGATTGCCAGGAGATCGAGTCCAGCCTGGGTTACATAGTGAGTTGAAGCCCAGCCTGCACTACATAGCAAAGACCCTGTCTCCAAAAAAAAAAAAAAAAAACAGGGCTGGGGATTTAGCTCAGTGCTGCCACCGCCTGCCTTGCAAGCACAAGGTCCTGAGTTCGATCTCTGGTACCAAACAAAACTTACCAAAATAATTTATGAAAGATATGTTCTAATCTAAATCACTTCTCAGCCCAAGGTGGGAGGGTCTTCATGAACTGTTTCCCTTTCTGGTATCATGAGGCCATAGACTATTGCAACCCGGAATGTATACCTTGTCCTAGTAACAGGAGCTCTGAAAACAACACTGAGAATTAAGAAAGGCTGGCCTTTATCAAGAAATCAAATAATAACAACTGCTGGTGAGGCATGGATAAAAGGAATTCTTCTACATTATCGGTGGGAATGTAAACTAATGAAGCACAATGGAAATCATTGTGTAGTTTCCTCAGAAAACTAAAGCTAGAAATTCCATTTGACCCTAAGCAAGGTGTATAAAACATAGATGTTTATGAAAGCAAGGAGGAGGCTTAGGAAGGAATGCCCTAGTTAAAGGGAAGGCATAGACGGGCAGTGGGCGAACATCTATGTTTGGAGCCTGATCTTTTTTTTTTCTTGGTACCAAGGATCGAATTTTTTTTTTTTTTAAACATAAAGTCTTGCTGTGTAGTTCACGCTGTCCTGGCCTCGAATTTGCGGCAACCCTCCTGCCTCAGCCTTCCGAGTGCTGGGAAGACAGGAGAGCGACACAACGCCCGGCAGATCTTTAATTACATGCCTGTGACTCAAGATAAACCCCGATGGGACGCCCAGGACACAGCTAGTCCCCATGTGAGGACTAAGGACGGGAACACTGTGTGGATTCCCAAAGCCCTGCACAGGGCGGAATAATTCCTGAATAAAAGAATAAACAAGAGGGAGAGTTCAAATTCGCATTCACGTCACGGTTCAACAAAATTTATCAAGTCGCTGCCAACTTCTAGAGGGCGCAGCGCCTCTACCGAACTTTCCGAAACCCAGAAAGAAGGTCACCAGAACCCTTAATCCGCGTTACCGAAGTTACAATTCTGGAGGGAAGATAGAACTCACAGTTTGATAGGCTGAGATTAGAGCCAATGAGAAAGGAGCTATTTATGCCGCAGCTAATAAGAGGACGGAGGACGTGACGTAAACGGATGTGCGGGGCACTGCCCGAGAAGCTTCGTAAATACCTAACCTAGTCAGTTCGGCGGAGGTGTGAGAGGAGTAAGAAGAGAAGATGTCAGAACGGAAAGTTCTAAATGTAAGTGTTTAGAGACTCGGGTTTTCTACCCAGAGCGCCACATCTGGAAACTCCGAGTCTAGTTTCTTGTGAATTTCTTTTGGAACCTTTTCCTTGTCAACGGCCTTCCGCGGGGCGGGGCTTCCAGAACTCCTCCCAATCACCTTTTCTGGGAGGCGGGCCTTTGCTTAGCCTTCCTTTCCGGAGTGTACCGTATGACCGTGGAGGGGACGGGCCTTGGAGTCGTTAATTATCCAATCACGTTCTCTGGGGGCGGGGCCTCAGAATATTAGCGAGGGTAGTCTAAGCGGTCACTTTCAAAGCCGAGACTGTTAAGTCCCGCCTCTCATAGTATCTCTAGCCAATCATGTTCCTTATAGCGGCTTTCAGGTTTTGCCTGGCACTTTGTTTCTGTAGATGGGGAGTCCTCCCGGTTTCCTCAACTCTGCCCAGTTCTGTTGAGGGAACAGCAGGAGGCTGCTAGGTTATATTTCTGTCCAGTACCACGCCAGTTGTCTCCAGTCATCAGATCTGAATCCTGAGCGGCTGAAACGGGGGGGAGAGGGGCACACAATTCGGTTTCTTCTGTAAAATGGGTACATTTTGCTCTCTGCCTCCTGGACTCTGCAAGTGTTCCTTGAGGCAAGGGAAATAATGTGTATCGTGTGCCCACGAGGTGCACAAAGCAGGGTGCCTTATTTTCTGTCTTTCCAAAGAAATTACTTTTTGTTTCTGGTGCTGGGGATAGAACCCAGGGCCTCACAAGCTACATCCCTAGCCTTCCCCCCTCCTATTTTTTTGGTACAGGGACTTGAACTCGGGGCCTTGCGCTTGCCAGGCAGGTGCTGTGTCACTGAGCTTCCTTCCCTTCCCTTTTAAAAATTTATTTAAAAAATTTTTTTTGGTTCATTTGTTTGTTTTGAGACATGGTCTTGCTGTGTAGTCAGTGCTGGCCTTGAACTCGTGGAGATCCTCTGCCTCAGCCTCCTGAGTGCTAGGATTACACACATGCACCTCCACACCTGGCTTTAAATTTTATTTTGAGACACATTCTCACAGTCCTCCTGCCTCAGCCTCCCTAGTGCTGGGACCACAGGCGTGCTCCACACTCCAGAGGAGTTATTTTTGATAAACCAAACTCAACATCCCCACATTTCTCACCTCTGACTCCTCTGCAGAAACAAGTTCTGAGAGCAGGACTGTGACTGCGCTCCTTAGAAAGGGACACAGTGGCGCACACTTGTCATCCCAGCACTCTGGGAGGCTGAGGTGGGAGGATCTCAAGTGTGAGCCCATCCTGGGCAATGTAATGATTTAGTGGGACCCTATCTCAAAATACAAAATAAAAAGGGCTGGGGATGCTGCTCAGTGTCAGGGTCCTGGGTTCCATCCTCAGTGTGAAAGGAGAGATGGAGGGGAAAAGAGAGATCAAGAACAGTCAGCTTGTCAGGTTTTGCCTGTGGCTAGCACCTGAGAACTTGGTTTCAGAATCATTCCCTGCTTCCTCATAAGAATGGCTGCTGGTGCCTCCGTTTTTTTGCCAACGGCATGGCTTAAGCTGAGCCCCTGCTCTTTGGGGACTCGAGTCTCGGTGCCAGCCAGAAGGGCCTACCTGACCAGGTGCCGAGGAGCTGCATAGGGTGGCAGCATCTCATGTGTTGTCGTTCCTTGGGGAAATCACATGATGCCATAACTCTCCTGGGGAAGGGTCTGCAAGCTCTCTCTGTCCTCTCCGACTATGTCGTTGGGTTTGCTGATTGTGCTTAGAGTCGTTTGGTTGTGACCCCAGCCCTGAGAACACATGGGCGCTGAGACAGGTGATGACTCCCTGCGGATCACCGAGCTTGGGGTGTTCCTGGCTCCCCCTTTTCCTTTTGTTCATGTCCTGCCTCTCTGCCAGCCCTGACTGCTTCCTTCCTCCCTGCAGAAGTACTATCCACCGGACTTCGACCCCTCGAAGATCCCCAAACTCAAGCTGCCCAAGGACCGGCAGTACGTGGTGCGGCTGATGGCCCCCTTCAACATGAGGTGTGTGTTGGTCACTGCTGGACCCGTGACTGCGGAGGTGTCCTGTACTCATGTTCAGACTGGGCCCCTGCACCCGATTAGGCAGCTGCTGTCCCAGCCCTCACTCCCCTGAAGGCCCTGAGCTCTTGAGGTCCTCCAGCAGTGTTGCCTGCTGCCTTGAGGTCGGAATCACTAGCACACGTGTGGCCCCAGAGATGGGGCCCTGTGCAGTCATGTCTGCTCCCCAACAGCCAGGCTGGCTCTTGCCTGAGGGCCTTGAACTCACAGTAGCCTCTGCCTGGAGCCCCGAACACCTGGTTCCTGATCACTCATTTGATCCTGGCCCAGATCTCCTTCCAGAGAGACTGCCATCATCCACCTGACTGACTCTTCAGAACATCTGTGCTTCACCAGTCTGAATCACACAACTGTCTTGTTTCAGTGTCAACAGAGTCTCATATAACTACCAGTCAGAGCCCTTTGTTTTTTAACTTTTTTTCTTTTTTTTTTGGTGCTAGGGATCGAACTCAGGTCCTTCCACTTGCGGGGCAGGCGGCAGCACCACTGAGCTAAATCCCCGGCCCAAATTTTTTTATTGGAACATTTTAGACATACATGATGATCACATTCATCATAGGGAATTTGTACCTGTACATGATGTATCTTGCTGCTTCTTTTTTTTTCATGACCCTGCCTTCAAACCCACTTCCCCTCCTTATTTACAAAAACTTTGTTTCCATTTTTTCCTTCTATTCTCTTTTTTCTCCTTGTCCCTTCTCTCCTTTCCCCCTCCCCCCTCCCTTGTTCCCCTTCCCATTTCCCAATATCTGTTATACATTTTGGTCCTTATTTCCATTCTCGGTTTCTCACACCAGAAAAACAATGCAGTATTTAAACGTGTGTCTGATTTATTTCATTTAAGGATATGCACTCAATAATGGATGCACTCAAGGTGCATCCATTTAGCTAGAAATGTCTCTAGCTCATCCTTCTTTATGGCAGAGTAGTGTTCCATTGTATAGAAAACTATATCTTCTTTATCCATTTGTCGATTGACAGGTATTAAGATTTAGCCATTATGAACTGTGCTGCTGTAAACATGGGTGTGCATATATCATTATGGTATGATGCTCTTAATTCTTTCAGGAAGATAACAAGAAGGGGAATAGCTGGGTTGAATGGAACCTCTAGTTTTAGTTTTTTGAGAAATCTCCACATTGATTTCCACAGTGGTTTCACCAGTCTACACTCCCTCCAAGTGGAGAAGGGTTCCTTTTTCCCCACAGCCCTGAAAGCATTTGTTATTAGTCGATTTCTTTTCTTTTTGGTACCAGGGATCGAACTCAGGTCCTTGCACTTTCGAGGCAGGCAGCAGAACCACTGAGCTAAATCCCCAGCCTGGTTGATTTATTGATAACAGCCATTCTTTCTGGGGTGAGATAGAATCTCAACATTGTTTTAATTTGCATCTCTCAAATGACCAGTGATGTTGAACATTTTTTATATATTTATTTGGTATTTTTACTTCTTCATTTCAGATGCCCATTTTTGTACTGGGTCTTTAAATTTGAAGGGTCTGATTTTTTTGAGTTCTTTATATATTCTAGACATTAGTCCTTTCTCTGAGGAACAGCTGGCAAAAAATTTTTCCCTCACTGTGAGTTGTCTCTTCACTCTGTTGGTGGTTTCTCTTGCTGTGCAAAAGCTGTTTAATAAGGTGAGATCCCAGTTTTTGATTCTTTGTGAATTTCTTGTGCAATCAGGATTTTGTTCGTAAAGGCTTTGCCTACACCAGTGTCTTCAAGAGTTCTATTATATCTTCCAGCATATTGAGTGTTTCTGTTTTAATATTTAGAACTTTGATCCATTTTGGGTTTTTTTGGTACCGGGGATCAAACTCAGGACCTTGCACTTGCAAGGCAAGCACAGTGCCACTGAGCTAAATTCCTGGCCCTGATCCATTTTTATTTTAATTTAGTACTTAGTGAAAGATATGGGTCTAGGTTTAATCTTCAGCATGTGGAAAGCCAGTTTTTTCCAGACCCTTTATTAAAGAGGTTATCTTTCTTCCAGTGAGGGTGCTTGGCTCCTTTGTCAAAGATAAGGTAGCTGAGTGTGTCTGCAGTTGTTTCTGCATCTTCTGCTCTGTTCCATTGATCCCCAGGTTATTTTTTTCTTGCCAGTATCCTGATATTTTTATTTATTTATTTTTTGCAAGAATTTTTCAGTTTCCTATTTTTTTTTTTTGCTTAAATTCTTTTATTGGTACATTTTAGGTATACAGTACATTTACACTTATCATTGGGTACTTGTACCTGTACATGATTTCTCTTGGTTCTTATTTTTTCCCCATTCTCTGTCCTCCCTTCTCTATTTACAAAGACTTTGTTTTCATTTTTTCCTTTTCTCATAATTTTTCCTTTCCCTTCTTTCCTTTCCCCTTCCCCTCCTACTTCCCCT